GGGCGCAGCGCGCAGATGCGGAGATGCAGCTAGCAGAGGTGGAAGGCAGCAGCCGGACGCGAGAAGAGTTGGTGACACGGGTGACTCACTGCCTAAGAGGATACGCCCATTGGGAAGTGGCGGCCCAAGAGAAGATCACACTCAGGGAGTTTGAGCTTTGGGCGGCGGCATTGACGGAGGGTGACAGTCGGAGTCGGCGGCGAGTAGCGAGGAAATTAGAAGCCTTCTTGTCGGGTGCGCGCGACACTATGGCGCACTTAGAGTCGGAAGTGACAGCAGTCCTTCGGCGACTGGGGTTGCGCAGCCGGTCGGAAGATTGGCGGGGTAGAGAGAGGGTGCGAGTCAATCCGGCGCGCAGGAGGCGCAGCACCGGATCTGCAGAGTGCAGTAGTGTAGTTTGGTTTCGTGCAGGTGTTTAGAGTAGCAGATAGTGCAGAGTAGTGTTAGTTAGGATCTTAGAGGGTATAAAGTAGTTCAAGGCGTTTTGCCTTGGGACTGTTCCAGTTTCGGAAGTGCAGATCAGGAACTCACTTTCTCGGCGTGTTTGTGCATTTGGTCCTGGCACCACGTAGAGGAGCTGCAGCATAGTGAAGTTACCGCATGTTGTAGCTGAAGGCCTTCGGCTGAATGTTCAGAGCTAGTACACCGGTTAAAGACTTGAGTAGTGCGGATCTACACCTGCGGGTGATTTCTGATGCTAAGAGCCGGTTGCGAGTTAGATACTTGAACAGTGTCCCCTTACTCCTTCGAGTGACATATCCTGATTGTACTCCTACGGGAAGTTTCCCCTGAATGCCAAAGTGAAGTTTTGTTACTTCGTGTAAACCTTGGTTAGCAATTCAGGTTGTGTGTGTGTGTTACTGGATTGTGTCTAAGTTAAGTTCTCAGTCGGGCCTGTACTCTCTGCGCTTGGTGTGAGTCGAGGGTGACGTCCACTGCGTATGAGGGACTTCGTTCCGAAGTGGGAAGTACAGTCCGGGTTCCCTACGCTAGTTCCTGGCGGAAGGGCTGTAAAAGCCGGAGTGGGAGTCACTACCTGCAGAGCCTCTGAGTGAACTTTTGAGATACTTTCCCCCTGAAATCCTAAGCGGAGGTCCTGACCGACCTCCGAGTTGTGCTTTTCCAGTTTCAGGTGTGTGTGTGTGTGTGTGTGTGTTGAGTAACCTACGCTGCACTGTGCATCCTCCGAGCATCCTCCGAGTCGATCATCATCCGAGTGACCTCCGAGTTGAGCATCCTCCGAGTGGCCTCCGAGTTGAGCACTACAGTATTTCTGGGAGTGACAGTCGCCTGAGAATTCAAACTCTCCAAAAGTCTGTTAAACGTGACACTTTTTACTCTGTGTGTTGCCCCTGTCCCTGTGGGTTCGATCTTTTTACCACCATACTGCAGTTTTAGCCTTTGGTGGGTTATTACACCACTGCTCAATCTCGGAGTCTAGAACGGTAATGCCTTAAAACTTCCGTCATCTTCACATCTAGTCTACAATGTAATCTTGTTTTCTCATATCGACAACACTCAGACAAGAAGCCAGAAAGACAATAGTGTAGGAAAACACAAAACTTTCTACTTATAAGTAATATGGCAAGGAAATATGCAAGAACAAAGACTCGGCTGAACTTACAAGCTCCACTTAAATAAGCGAAAGCTTTCACAAAAGCGGCAACGTCGAAAGTTCACTCAAAAACATTAATTCCTACAAATTGCCTTATTTTTATTTGGAATTTCATATTCTACTTCTACAACTATCAATAGAAATCACTACTGTACTACCTACTCTATCTTCGGCTTCTTCTTCCTCTTCTTGTCCTTATCCGTTTTATTCTTCTTGTCTTCCGCCTTTGTTCTTGACTTCGTGTCTGACTTCTCTCTATTTGCCTTTCGGAATCGAAGGAGTGAAAGATCTATAAATATTTTTATTAATTCTAACAATCTTATTTTATTTAACTAACTAGGTGGATCATTTCTAGCCTTTTTTTATCTTCTTATTCAAACAAAAAAGAAAACTACTACAAATTTTAGTTCCGAAACTAGCCTAATCCGGAGATTTTTTATCTTTGAAGATTTCCACAATATTGTTTGGTTGGCATGCATCTGCCTTCTTGTGTTTGTTACATGGAGACTCTACTAGGAAAGGTCATGACATCAAACTCTACTCAAAGAATAGATGGCAAATCTTGAGATTTTGTGGTTAAAGATGGTAGTATGGATCAGCGTGATATTCACAATGATGCATTAGTATTAAAGTGTCTACAGATTTAGTATGGTGTCATGCATAGTAAGTGCCAAGAAGCAAGATCGCGTTCTTCATCGGGCGAAGTGATACCGATTGGAGTGAGCACATAATTTTTGAGTGTGGAAGGACAGTAGGATACGAGTAATACCACATCTAGCTAAGAGAGCACGCATTGTGCGGCATGCTCATGAGAAATTGGAACATTTTGGAGTGAAGCGTACATATAACTTACTCTTTGGTCATTATTGATGGCGTGGTATGCATACTCATGTTAAGTAGTTGGTAACACATTGCATGGTTTGTGATCAAGTGAGAGCATCATTCAATGCTCCAACACTGGAGTTACACCCCTTGCCTATCATGGGATTGGGTTACCGTTAGAGCATGAACTTTGCTGGACCATTATCTTTGATTGTACAACATCATCGGTATGTGTTGGTGATGGTGCAGCATTCCTCAAAGTGGATTGAATTGATGGCATTACTAGACAAGGCGAGTGAAGTAACAGCATATGCTTTTCTTGACCGGATGCTCAATCACTTAGGTGCAGTAGCTAAGATGTTGTCCGATTAAGATAGAGAGTTTTAGAATGAGTTAAGATATTGTCTTATAAGTCACTGATAGATTATCCAACCATGTCTCAAGATCATCCGGAGTCGGATAGTTAAGTTGAACGTGTTGTACTACAGTGAAGTGCATATTGCTCAAGTATGGCCTATAGAGGAACATCTTAGGGAGTGGGATATTCAGCTACCATGGTTCAACATGGGATATTGGTTCAGTTGTCAAACATTCTTAGCTTCCTTCTCATCATATTTTTTGTTTTACGACCGAGTATAAAACTTGTCGACAGCGATTCGTCGTGAATCTAGTGAAATGATGAACCTTGATGACCCACACATGTGGATGAAAGTGTATTTTCAACGTGCAGAGCTGTTTTGAAGAGTTATGTCTAAAGCATTTGAGAACCTTGCAATTTCTCAGCATAGGGATAGTATGCAATCATTCAAGAAATAGATTATAGATCATCGATTTGTAGATTTCATGTGAAGTAGCACGTCTATTTACAACAAATTAGGACGGCAACATTGGATGTAACCGTGAGACGCACTATCTTGCGAGTGCGGAAGGTGTTATCTTCTGAAGTTTTCATGTTGAACTATCATGACGGAGTTGTTTGGAAGAATCATGTGCGAAACTATGGGCCATGACATCTCCCAAACATCGATAGTACAATAGATCCAAGCATAGACGTGATACAGGCTGGCTTGATATGTATGTTGTGTGATTCGGTAGTATCACACATCTATTAATAGATGTTTAATACTATAAATATTATCGCTATAAATCACTTTGTAGCAATATTATATTATATCTTAATTTTTGACTAATCTGTTACATTATTTTGATATCATTATAAATCACTTGTGTGATCAATTTGGAAAATTTTGTAGCAATATTTTCTCATCATATTTTGTCATTATGTATCAAAATTTATCACAATTTTAAATCATTTTGTATCTTTATTGAATTATCATTTAAAATTACTTTGTACAAGTATATAATCAACATTTTGGATCATTTTAAGCCATTTTGTAGGAGTTTTTTATATCATTTTTAACCATTTTGTAGCAAAGTTTGTTGATTCCATGAAACATTTTGTAAAAGTTTGGCTTTGATGTTTCATACCACTTTAATCAATCTTTGCTTTTATTCTTTAGCAATTATGATAAAAAAAACTACCAAAATAGCTAGCACTTGTGTTACTAGAGTGCAAGAACTCATACTTACTCTCACATGCTTGATGACTAGCTTGCCATCTCTTCATCTGCCACGTACAGCTGGATACGCAATCAGCATTTAAGGGTAGTAAGCCTGCACTACAGAAAGTTCATACGCTGCTAATTTTCAAGTTTTCACCACACTCAAGCCCGCAAGCAGTCAACCGTATCGTTTCACTAATTTTCAAGTTTTGTTCTGTGAACGTGGTTGATATTTTGACGCAAGATATTTAATGTGAGGGTTAAGCGCCTAGTTACGAGCAACTCTGATTTCAAACATTTGATGGAAGTTGGGGTCTGCTTCTGAAAATGACGATACACGAAGAAAATTCTGGAATTATTGCCAACTCATAGTTGTCCGAATGCGAAGTGTTTTCTTGAGAATCAACAAGTACTTAGTGTTTGTATGACAAGGCCTGATTATTTTGTAGCATATGTAAATAATGTTAAAGCATTAGCTTGAGTGGCAAAAGCGAATACACTCTGCATCATGCCCGTGGATTGAGCAATATCTAAGTTCATTCCACCTTCCAGTTCCAGAATCCCTCAAGAAGTTGTTTGTTTCTTACTTGAATCTTTACTATCTAAGAAAACTTCAAATCAATCTTTCATACAATTCATATCAGTAATTGATATCCTGTGCCAACTGTAATACCCATAATTTTCTTACAGTAAATCCTAAAATGGACACAAATTATATTGCCCTTTAACCCTATCTGTCAAAAAAGATAATAAAGTGCAATCCAGCTCCATGTCTGTTCGCTGTGATCAGCTTCCGCCAGCAAAAATTCCTCATTCACTAATTGATGTAATTTAAAGAAGTTGTTTTAAGCACATTGCCTAGCTTAAATTTCAATTTCAACAACTTTTACTAATATTATATATAGTTCGCGTCCTAGATACGGCAATCGAAATTACATTCTCATTTTAGCTCAAGTGGTTTATCTGCGTCGCCCATAAACTTTTCCTTCAAGATGTTAGATTTAGCCAATCATGGTTAGACAATTTTAAAGAAAGCTTCTTCAACATGAGGTTTATAATTTTGTCGAAGAATAATGGCCCTAACTACAAGTTAGGACCCTAATGTCTTTCTTCAACTTTCTAAACTATAATAAAAACAAAAGAAAAAGTCCCCAAGTTTGTAGAATCATCCGAATCTCATAAGTGGAGCAAGGCACATCGTGCAAGGTCTTTAGATCCTGCAAGCATAAGAAGAGCTTCTTGTGCCTCGAGCTTATTTCTTGCTTCGTCGGAGTCTTCCTCCTCGTCGCCATCTTCGCCGTGAGCAGATCCTTCATGGGCATCAGTTGGTTCTTCTACCTTCGATTTCGGATTCCGAACGTTGAGTTCATGCAGGGGTCCAAAAGTGTACCTCAAGTCTTTGTTCAGACTCTCGTTGTTACTCTCGGTCTTAACAAACATCTGCTTTTCATCGTCCCATTGAATCACACGAAGTGCTGCTATTGGAGAAGACTTATGCACAAACAAAGGAGGATCGAAGAGCTGAGAGTATATGGGTGTCTTGTCAGACGTTTGTATCTTGGATTCCGGTTCGGCCGGCACTTTATATTCTTCTGCGGGAACCGATGGAGCACCAATAAAGGCAGATCCGGATGCAATTCTCGCGTCTGCCATATCATATCGTTTGACTTTTAAGCTTGTACGAAAGCGCAACAATAACCATTAAACCATCAGTTTTCTACGATTTTTTCAACTCTGAGATCGAATGAGATGGAAAAGGCAAATGCTAGTGGATGAACAGAAACCACCACTTTAGAAAAGATTCTCAATAAGATCTCCTTCAATGTTAGTAGGACAAAAACGACCCTCACAACGGACTTCAAAGCTCTTACCAGAGTCAAACAGGGAGTTGCACTGACTCTCGTTCAGCCTTGCTCTAGCCTTCGAGTTGATGTTGTCGATTTCTGACTTGCGTGCACTTCCCGCGAATTCTGAAGAAGCCATGGCTTTCCTCGCATCCAAACTCGACCTCCTCTTGGTCGTAAACCTGAACATTGTGAAATATTTATAGTGAATCGTTGCGATGAAAATTCTAGGAGTTCTCGAGTTGCGCTCGAGTGTACAAGGGAAAAACCTCGTGTTCTTTCTTGATGTTGCCCGCGATCTGAAGAAGTACGATCCACACGTGAGATCTAATGACTTGGATGGTACACACTGACTGGCGGCCACCTTGAAAACCTTGAACTCAAAAAACTCTAATCTTCGTTTAATAAACTGGGGCACGTCCGTGAAGTCATCTGCAGTTCCCAAACTCTCAAATGGCGACTGAATTTAGCCTCTTTAACATTCTCCCCCTCTTACATTTCATCTAAATTGAAATCAATATTAATGACATTGCGAAAAGGAGATTATGTGATCCTCAGGCATCAGAGTGCATGTGACCGTTCGATACGTAGCCAATCAACGTCGGAGACCATGCAATCGTACAATGAGAATCACAATCATCGCGCTGGACCAGTTACAATTAAGGGACATAGTACAAGAGATTGTTATGATCAAAAGACTGTACAAGCCCAAATTCATGCTCAGGATTTGTCATCATAGTCCGAAGTCAGTATTATTAACTTACATCTATCAATAGTAGACGGAGTTCGTACCATGCAAGAACAGCTAACCGGAAGTCAGATGTTGTTGCCACTTCTGTGGTATTCCCCGTCCTCCACATTGAGTTGCTGAGAATTGTACCTTGAATCTGTTCCGTTTTGGTAGCCTGTGATTCTACAGATGGCTTTTCATACACTGTCTGGCCAGTATCATATTTCGAGAGCATCTATCTGCACCAAGTAAAGGTATTGCATATGCATGTAGGTGCAAATCTCGTGCGAGGTCGCATTCTCTTTAATCAGTCACAACTCTCCAAACTTTCCAGAAAGCGACGGAACGAACAGTTGGACAGCGCAAGCCTTCCTCACGCCATCACCATCATACAAATATATAAGACTTGCAGATATGGCCCTTCTGAGCCTGACTGTTTTTTAGCAGTTGAGTGAGCAGGGTCCTGTAAAATTCCTTTCAGCCTACCGTGATAATTTTGGCACAGCTATCATGTGCCCGAGATAGATTTCCACTAGCAAACCCCAAGTAGACCGGATCACGAGCTATTAATTAATGTATGGTTGCTCTGACCGTCATTGGAAATATTCGGGACTCGAATACTCTTGCAAATAGTTCCAGAAAGAACACTGATCCATCAGTTAAAACTCTTGATCGTCCGCACTTTTCGATCACAGAATTTTGTGCGAATTCTGAATTGGATAGTCCTTGAACTCTCGACGAAGCAAGCCTCTGCAAATTGTAGCACAACTCTCGATAAGAACAACAACCACAAACAATAAGAAAGGATCATGCGAGGACATGGGAAGTTAAATTTTAAATTCACTTGCGGTTGATACCGATCTACTGCCAGTAGATCGTTATTATTTCTGTTTCCCGCCAGTATCATATCGCACATACATACTCTCATTTTACGATCTAATAAAAATTTCACAATAAAATATCCATAAACATCTAACTTTCGATCTCTTTGTATTTTGCATTTTATGTTATGTTAAAAATCAATGAATTTTTGCATACATAATTTTATTCACATTGCTAATACACTTCAATAAATAAATCTTTAGGACACAGTGAAAGAGAAGTTTGGTTAATTCTGTAAAAGTGATTGAGTTTATTCTAATGTTACAGAATTTACTATTTTTGTTATATCTTTCTATCTTGTTGGCAAAAGGTATGATTATGTTTACTTCATAAAAAGGTTATCTTGAACAAAAATTAGATTAACATAGTTATGTAATAGTATTTTCGAAATTAAGATTAAAGAAATCTATAAAACATTACGAAGCATGACAAGATATGAAAAATAGCATTCAATTTTTCATAATCTATGAAAGTGATCACAAGAAAATCTTCTATAATGACTGAAAAGTTATTAAGGTGAATTCTGATTCAAAATGGAAATAAAAGATACAGATTTTTCTAAAATTTTGTTGACGTAAAAATTTAATCAGTAAAAACTTTGACAAACTTCAGTTTTTGAAAATCAGTTCATTTTGAGTATCAAATTTTTTTCCCCGCATAAATCTTGAAATTTCTGTTATGGTTAAATTGAAGTAACGAAGTGAGTTGCAGAAACTGAGATCCTCACTACAGTAGTCTCCCTGTTAGGTACGCACCTTGAACCTGGTAGGTTTGTGCGTACTTAGCTGGTAGGTGCATACTTAAGACGAATGTGTCACGAAACAGAAGAGATGACGGCATCCTCTCGGCAACACTGCAGCTTTTTTCTTTTTGGACCTTGCCAAAAACTGGTTGAGTGGTTCCATAACTCAAGGAGGAGCTTCCGACAAAGAGCTCCGTCTTCATGTTCAACGTGTCCTGCAACAATCTTAGCGGGTCAAGTCCTCAAGCATATTCATTCTTCACCTTCACCGTTATTGAAATGTCAAAGAACACGAGTGAGAAACGTCTCAATGAGTCTCTGCGATGCGAAATAGTAGCAAAGCTGAGTAAACAAATGCTCCTAGTAAAAGGGCTATAGCGCGCAAATACGATGTCAACGAAGGCGCTATCAGAAAGATGTGGGATAATCGGCAGCAGGTTTTAGAAAGATCTGCTTTAATGTCGAAAGAAGCTAAAACGAATATGTTTTGATCTTCACCTAGTTGTTTCACCGATGTTGAAAACATGCTTTACATCTGGATTGACGTGATGCGTCGAGCCAATCTTCCTGTTCCACCGTCTCTCGCCATCATCAAGGTTAAAAGCATTGCAGTGAGTTTATCGATACCGGAAACGGACTTCAAGGCGTCATGGCAATGGCTACGTCAATTCAAGCAACGACGAGGGTTTGTAATAACCCACCAAAGGCTAAAACTGCAGTATGGTGGTAAAAAGATCGAACCCAAAGGGACAGAGGCAACACACAGAGTAAAAGTGTCACGTTTAACAGACTTTTGTAGAGTTTGAATTCTAGGCGACTGTCACTCCCAGAAATACTGCAGTGCTCGACTCGGAGGCTCGACTCGGAGGAGGATCTCGACTCGGAGGATGCTCGGAGGATGCACGGTACAGCGTGGTCACTCAACACACACACACACACACACACCTGAAACTGGCAAAAGCACAACTCGGAGGTCGGTCAGGACCTCCGCTTCGGATTTCAGGAGGAAAGTGTCTCAAAAGTTCACTCAGAGGTTCTGCAGGTAGTGCCTCCCACTCCGGCTTTTACTGCCCTTCCGCCAGGAACTAGCGTAGGGTACCCGGACTGGACTTCCCACTTCGGAACGAAGCCTCTTCATACGCCGTGGACGTCACCCTCGACTCTCACACCAAACGCAGGGAGTGCAGACCCGACTGAGAACTTAACTGAGACACGATCCAGTAACACACACACAACCTGAATTGCAAACCAAGGCTTACACGAAGTAATAAAACTTCACTTTGGCATTCAGGGGAAACTTCCCGTAGGAGTACAATCAGGATATGTCACTCGAAGGAGTAAGGGGGAACTGTTCAAGTCTCTAACTCGCAGCCGGCTCTGAGCATCAGAAATCACCCGCAGGTGCAGATCCGCACTACTCAAGTCTCTAACCGGGTGCTAGCTCTGAACATTCAGCCGAAGGCCTTCAACTACAACATACGGTAACTTCGCTATGCTGCAGCTTCTCTACGTGGTGCCAGGACCAAAATGCACAAACACGCCAAGAAAGTGAGTTCCTGATCTGCACTTCCGAAACTGGAAGAGTCCCAAGGCAAAACGCCCTGATCTACTTTATACCCTCAAAGGTCCTAACTAGCACTACGTTATCCTATCTACTACTCGCAACATCTGCGCGAAACCAAACTATTCTACTGCACTCGGCGGATCCGGTGCTGCGCCTCCTGCGCGCCGGACTGCTCCGCTCGCTATCTCTACCTTGCCAGTCTTCCGACCGGCTGCGCAACCCCAGGCGTCGGAGCGCTGCAGTGACTTCCGACTCTAAGTGCGCCATAGTGTCGCGCGCACCCGACAAGAAGGTTTCTAATTTCCTCGCCACTCGCCGCCGACTCCGACTGTCACCCTCCGTCAATGCCGCCGCCCAAAGCTCGAACTCCCTGAGTGTGATCCTCTCTTGAGCTGCCACCTCCCAATGGGCGTATCCTTTTAGACAATGAGTCACCCGCGTCGCCAACTCTTCTCGCGCCCTGCAGCTGCCTTCCACCTCTGCTAGTTGCATTTCCGCTTCCGCACGCTGTGCCCTCAAATCCGAGCACTCGGATTGCAAGTTGCGCAACAACTCCTCATCCTCCTTGCGGGCTCTTTGACTTTCTTCTAAGGCGCGCGTCTGGCGCGCAAGCTCGGCTGCTAGGACGTGGTTTTGTCTCCGCTCTTGCGCGTAATCTTGGAAACTGGAAATCGCAAAATCAAGAATGAGAGAATGAGACTGGAGCGCAGTCTTTTCTTCTCCGATTTCAAGAACGTCCAACGTTCTTACTGGTTACAACGTACGCAGCCGGCTATACGGCCTAACGGTTCGCCCTTTGCATGCGCGAATTCACGTCTCCGCACTGCGCGCATTCGCATGCGTGAATGTTGAATTCTCCCGCCGCCGCCACCTTCCGGACTCGAGTCCGCCGCAGGGTATACGTCGGCTATGTTGTCTTTTCCTAACCCGTCCATCACCGGAGGCGTGTCGCCGCTGGTGCGTTCCTTATCCGTCGGCGCCTTGCTAGAGGCGCACATCTAGTCGGAGCGAATTACGCCGGCGCGCAGTCGTACCGCTTATTTTGTCCTTTATGCCTCGTCCATTGCTGACGGCGCATATCCGCCAGCGCAAATCATGCCAGCGCATCCGGCCGTCAGCGCCACGTCGGAGGCGTACATCCGACCGGCGCTTTCCTTCCATGAACAGCCGCCAAAGGCGCTTCCGACTCTGAGTTGGTTTCCTCCTATGAGCGCGTGATTCCGCCGAAGGCGCATCGCCGAGGGCGTACGGGAATACTTTCCGGCTGTGAACCCTAGCGCGAACGGCGCATGTCCGGCTACGAGTTTTCCGACGCTCATAACTTCTCCGTCCCTGATCCATCTCCGACGCTCTTGGGCTCGTTAGAACGAGCGTCCCG